CGGTGCCCGGCTAGTCAACATAATTTTTAAGCTTAATTATTTGTTGCTAAAACTGCCTTTACGTTGCAGTGTAATTTCTTACTGTATTACCTGTACCATCTTGCTGTGCTATTTCTATAGTAGATAGAATACTAACCTCACAATTTCCACATCTTAATCCCTGCAACGTGGTACTGTTCTTACATGGCAGAAGGCAATTAAGATTGCTCATCATTTTTTTTGTTTGGGGTCTGGTCGTGGGGCCTGAACTCTGGGCCTGGGCACTGTCCCTCAGCTCTTCAGCTCAAGGCTAGCGCTCTACCACTTGAGCCACAGCGCCACTTCCGGCTTTTTTCTTTTTGCTTATGTTGTGCTGAGGAATGGAACCCAGGGCCTCATGCATGCAAGGCAAGCGCTCTACCACTGAGCCACCTTCCCAGCCCCTGCTCATCATTTAAATAAGAGTAAAATAAAGATGTTGTAATAGATTAAATGCAATGCCCAACATTATCACAAGGATTCTTAAAAACAGACAGAAGATGCTAAAGAGGTCAGTATGATACAATGTAAGAAAAACCAATTATTGCTGGTTTTGAAGATGGAAGAAGAAGACTGTGAACCAGGGAATATGTGTGGCTATTAGAAGCAAAGGAAAGGAAACATACTGTCCCCTAGCAAAAAGAATTTAGACTTACATCAAACTTCAATGATGCTCATTAACACTTTTGCACTATTAAGCTGCAAGATCATGTTTCTTTAAAATTACTAGGGTGAGTTGTAGATTAGTGATAGCACACTTGCCTGGAATGTGTAAGGTCCTGGGCTTGAGCCTAAGCACTGCAGTAAATTTAAATAAAATTTCCAGTAGATTTGTTAAATGAACTGTACAAATCTTCCCATAAATTGTGCACATATTGTATAATTTGATATATTTTCAGTTTCTTTGAAATTTCTTACTAATCTTTTTAAAAATATAAGTGGTGTGCTCAACAAAAGAAAATAGTGGTTTGTAAACTTTAATGTCTGTTGAAATCACTGAGGGCTTGGTAAAACAGATTGTTAGGCCTCACTCTCACATTTCTTATAAGTGGAGCCAAAATGTTTGCATTTTTCTTTTTTTTTTTCCTGAGACAGGATCTACCTCACACTCACTCTATAGTTCAGGATGGTCTGAGAATTCACAATCCTATCTCAGTTTCCTAAGTGTTGAGATTGGCAGTTGTGTAACACTAGGCCTGGTTGAAAAATTATATTTTTAACAAGTGTCCAGGTGAGACTGATGTTGCTATACTAGGGATCATATTTGTGCCATTATACTCTTCCCTCTCAAATACCATATCATGGACCACTTTTCCTTCAAGGACTTGGCTTTTTTTTCCTGTTCATAGAGTTTATATAGAGTTCATAGTATCTATAAGCTTTGCCAATACTGTTAGTGGTTTTCCTAAGGTTCACTTCTCCTCCTAAACCCTAGCTCTCTTGCTTTAGAAAATAAGTATTTATTTGGTTTCTTTCATTTTAATGCAGGATAATAAAATCAGATATTAAAATGTTTTAACACAGTACCAAATTCTTTTAAATTCTGTAGACAGGCATATGTTTGCCTTCCTTCTGTGGTAGTTACTCTTTTGGGAGATTTCCCAGGCACTTCTAAATCACAAATTAAGCCACAGGAAAACCAAACACCAAAAGCAGACCAGAGACTTGGAGACTGGTTACGGACACAGGGGAGATACAAGATCTTCCTCCTCACCACCCCCTGTACCCCCCTCCAAAAAAAAAAAAATCAAAGAGCTCTTTTGTCTACCTATTTTTATTACTATTTTTAATTGTTTTCTATTTTTTTCTTTCATAATTTTTATTTTAGGAGTGTGTGTGTGTGTGTGTGTGCGTGTGCGTGTGTGTGCTTTTTTCAAAATCTCTTTTGACCTTTTGGCTCTTTTTTTTCTCTTTTTTGTATGACTTAATTGCTGTTCTGCTCATATATATCTATCGTTGATTATTAGACCTTATCCCTCATTGTGTACATACTTAATCCAGAAACTTATTACTCAATTCACAACCTCTTAAGCTTAACTTCTTTAATAGTCGTATTATTTCTTTTTGGCTATATAACTTTGAAGTATTCCAATTTTAAGAATTTTTATTTTTATTTTTTCATTTTTATCTTTCCCCTCCTCTCATCCTATCCCTTTCTTCTCTCAATATCATTTCTTTATACTTAATTTTAAGTGTTTCATTTTTTATTTAAATTTTTGTTTTTCCATTTTTTGTTTTTTTAATATCTCTCCTATCACTCTGTCCTATCATTTCCCTGTTTGATATTAGGACTTGGTTAAACTCACTCTCCTTTTACCTCTCCACATCTCAGTAATCCTATTTTTCCCCACAATTCTCCCTAAACCTAATAATTTCTGGTTTGTTGAATCCCTCTTGGATGTCCTTAGCCCATTAATCCATAATTGTTTGATGTTGAATAGATTGTATCTGTTGAACTAGATTGTATCTACAGCCATTTTGACTATGCAACTACAGGACTTTGGTTGATGCTTGCCTTCATATAGTGTTCTAGCACAAAACTGGTGTTGCTTTCATACCAAATGGGCAGAACAAGCCAGAGAAATACAAGAAAAATGGCAAGCCAGGTATCTCAGCTCCCACTCATGATAATCAGGTTACAGAACAGTTAATTAACAATCCAGAGGAGAGTTCCCAAAAAGCTCTACAAACACTATTGGTAAACATGATGAATGAAAAGATTGAAAAACTGCAAAGAATTCAGTGCGAGCATAATAGGGAGCAAGACAAGGCAAACTAAAGATTAATACAGGAACTTTATGAGCATGTTGAGGCTAATCAAAAATTACTACAGTAATCTCATGAGCATGAGGAAGGTATTCAAAGATTCATACAAGAATTGCGTGTACAGGTTGAGAACAAAACTCTGATCTCACAAATATGTACTTAAACCACAAAACATGGTACAGGTGTTTTCTGTTTATCTTGTTCACTAGAACTCAGTTCATCTTCTGTCTTCATGTCTTACTGTAGTAGTACTTACTAGTTAATAAATATGTTGATGTTACAGAATGAAGGAACAAAAAAACAAATGTACTACTACAAGTGCAGAATAATCAATCGTGCTTGCTTGAAATGTATTAATTGAAGCCCTGAGGACCCTGAGTAGGTGACATGCATTCAGATAAATGGCCCACATGTCCTCTAGCTCATCAAATAAATCAATGTGGAGAATTTCCTAAAAATACCCTTGTAATCCCAGCTTTGCAAAGGTGTAGGTAGGAGGATCATGATTCCATGATAGCCTAAACCATAAAAAATAACAAAATCCTATTTCAAAAAATAAGCTGGAATTCCCAGTTTTGTGGGAGTGGAGATAAGAAGTTTGTGGTCTAAGGTTGCCCTGGAAAAAGTTGAGACCGTATCTGAAAAAAAAGCAAAAGGGTCTTATGTGTGCTTCAGGTGGTAGAGTGTTTGTCTAACAAATGCAAGGCAAGGCCTTGAATTCAAATTCCAGTACTACTCTCCCACCTGAATAAAAGAGTGTGTTGTTCATGGTGCTAGTGGTTTCTTCCTGTGATCCTAGCTAATCAGGAGGCTGAGATGTGAGGATGGTGGTGGTTCCAAGCCAGACAAGGAAGGAAAATCAATCTCCAGTGAACCACCAAGAAGCTGAAAGTGGAACTGTGGCTCAAGTTGTAGATTGCTAGTCTGGAACAACTAGTGACAGCACTCAGGCCTTGAGTTAAAGCCTTAGGAGCCCACGTGTGTACACACACACACACACACACACACACACACACACACACTTTTTCTTTTCCCAGATTAATGGATTGTCCTATTATTTTGCAGCCAGTTACTTGCACAGTTAATAGGGTGTTTTTCTCACTGGAAACTTACAGGATCTTTTCTCCCATTGTTTTGATGATAGTAGGGTTAAGGATGTGATTCTGTAGTAGAGCAACTGCAAGCATTAGGCCCAGAGTTTAAACCCCAATACTAAAAAAAAAATTACAATAATTTGGTGTGTCTCTGCTTTCATTCATTGAACTTGCTGTTTAGTGGGTCTTTTAAATTTGATTTTGTATATGTGTGTTGGTCCTAGGCTTGAACTCAGGAAATGGGTGCTGTCTTTGAGCTTTTCTATTCAAGGTTAGTACTCTACTATTTGAGCCAGATCTCCATTTCAGGCCTTCTTGGTGGTAAATTGGAGATAAGTCTCATGGACTTTCCTGCCTGGGCTGGCTTTGTACTATGAACCTCAAAATATCCTGAGTAGCTAGGATTACTGTCATGAGCCACCAGCACCCAAATGAATTTTTTTTATTGTTATTTAGGTTTAAGTACACATGAAATGAACATGATAAAAAATTAACCGATTTGTGAAAATTAATGACAAGTAAATTTATCTTTCAGATCAGTCCCCTTTTTAGAAGAGTACATCCCTCTTTAGTGGCTTTTTGCTGGACAGTACAAGTTGTCATGTCGAAAACGAACTTTACAACTTTGGTAGGCGGGGGGTGGGGAGCTGGGAAGGGATGGAAAGGGCAAACAAAGGAGGAGGCTACAATGCTTGATAAGAAATGTACTCATTGTCTTGCCCATGTAATTGTAACCACTCTGTACAGTATTTTCACAATAAAAAAATCAAAAAAAATAAAGATAAGAACTTCATAGGCTTTTTTGCCCAGGCCAGCTTTGAGCTATGATCCTTCTGGGTGGTTAGGATTAACTTTTAATTCCTCAAAAGGCTGAGATCTGAGGATCACGGTTCAGAGCCAGCACAGGCAGCAAAGTCTGAGACTCTTATCTCCACTAAACTACTAGAAAAATTTGGAAGTGGAGCTGTGGCTGAAGTGACAGAGCACTAGCCTTGAACAAAATAAGCTCAGAGGCAAAGTTCATGCCCTGAATTCAAGCCCCAGCACTGGCACACACACACAAAAAGAATTTAAAAATGACTTCATAGTATAAATTTTGGTTTTATATAACTCTTTTGCCAGATGATGAACCTAGCCAGAGTGACTCTCGTACTGAGACTGCTATGACACTACCAAGTGAGTCCAGAGTCAATGTGCACTCTATCATCACATTAAAATTATTAGACTACAGGTATGTAATTCATTGTTGTAAATATTACAAAACACATAGGGAAAATTTGAAAAAGAGTCCTTCAGAAAAAAAAAAAGCTACATGGGCCAGGTACCAATGGCTCACATTTGTAATCCTAGCTACTCAGGAGGCTAAGTTCTATAAAGCAATTTATATATACAGTGCATCTTGATCTGTGTCATCCCTTTAATATCTTCATCCCCCTTTGACTCATTCCCTTCCCTTGTTTTTTCCAGTTCTGTGGCATGTGCAATGTGTCCTTGCTTGCATTCTACTCATTTCTCCCATTCATTCTTCTACCTCTTTCCATTTGCCCTTACCCTGGCACAAATACCCATTTTCTGGTACTTATTTTGTTGGGCTTTTACTAAGTCTTTCTAAAGAATTATACTATTTGCATTGTCCATACAGTCTGTTATACTTCACTTAATTCATTTATAACTGGGTGCTACTCAGTGTTTACTTCCAGATTTATAGGCACATTCTAGCTTCCACAAATTAGGGAAGCCATGCAACTTGTGTGTCTCTGGGTCTGGGTTACTTCATTTAATATAATTTTTTCTAAGTTTTTCTATTTCCTTACTGAGCAGTAGAAGAAAGAACTATTTACTTACTGTATTACTTATAGGTTTCCCACACCCTAAAAATATGTCTGCTCTTTTCACCCCACACTTGGACATGTGAAACGTGCAGATGTGACACAATATATTTTCTGAATTCCTAACTTTCTGAATTCCTAACACTTTATGTGTTTGTAAGTTTTTGTGTCATTCTTCATAAAATTTCATAATTAGTTTGAAAACTTTATAAAATATTTTTTATTGTTTAATGTTTTGGCAATACTGGGATTTGAACTCAGAGCTTCATGCTCACGAGGCATCCATGCCTCCAGCACTTTATTTATTTATTTATTTATTTATTTATTGCCAGTCCTGTGGCTTGACCTCAGGGACTTGGGCACTGTCCTTGAGTTTCTTTGTGTTCAAGGCTAGTATTTTACCACTGCAGCCACAGTACCACTTTCAAAATGTTCTCAGGCTTTTTGTAATTGTTTTGTTTTTGGCAGCACTTTTAAATTAAAAAAAAAATAATGGTAATAATCAAACCGTAATAAAATAGTCATCTTCTGGATTGATAAGAATATTTCATTTTAAAAATAATTTTTCATTTAGTGATAAGCAAACAGCTTTGATTCCTGATGAAGTATTTGATTCCGTGAAAGGCAACATAATCACTTCTATTAACTTCAGTAAGAATCATCTATCTGAAATTCCGAAAAGGTAAGAACTCTTTTTCACTGCAATTTCCATTAAAACATCATTTGTTCTCAGTTGTATTACAGCTTATTTGTGAAATGATTTCCCATGGTTTAAACAAATTAAGTAATAAAATTAAATTTCCTGTATTACTATTATTACTTTTTTCAATTGTTTTGAGTAGTATACATTATTGTGAACACTTTATTTCTCATACACTGTAAAGGAAAATAGATATTAGAATTCATAAAATATGAAATTACTTTTTCTTTCTAACAAACACAAGAGGAAAAAGCTGGGCACTAGTGGCTCATACCTGTAATCCTTAGCTAGTCAAGAGGCTGAGGTCTGAGGATTGCAGTTCAAAGCTAGCCCAAGCAGAAAAGTCCGTGAGATTCTTATTTCCAATTAAACACCAGAATACAGAAGTGGCACTCTGGCACCAGTTAATCACCAAAAGTCCAGAAGTGGAGCTGTGGCTCAAGTGGTAGAGCTCTAGATGAGCAAAATAGCTCAGGAACAATGCCCCAGTCCTGAGCTCAAGTCCCAAGACACCCCCCAAAAAAATAATAATGAACATCACAAGTAAATTGTTAAAGAGCTCACCCAATGCAGTGGATTAATAGGTAATTTGTACTGTTTAATGCATCTTTATTGTTGTGAGCTAGCAAAATCTTTAGTTTGTGAACTTCTTTTTTTTGTCGGTCGTGGGGCTTGAACTCTGGGCCTGGGCGCTGTCCTTCAGCTCTTCAGCTCAAGGCGAGCACTGTACCACTTGAGCTACAACACCACTTCCGGTTTTCTGGTGGTTTATTGGAGATAGGAGTCTCACAGTCTTTCCTGCCCGGGTTGGCTTTGAACTGTGATCCTCAAATCTCAGCTTCCTGAATAGCTAGGATTACAGGTGCGAGCCACCAGCGTCCAGCTAGTTTGTGAACTTTTATTTTGAAAAATACTGGTTAGCTAGCAGAAAACCATATACCCAAACAAAGTTGACATATTTCAAACAAAATTTAAATATATTGAAGTAACATATAGTTAGTAGAAAAAAAATAGAAAATCACTATGCTATAGATCCATACCTGTTTGTTTTATGGATTCAAATTAAGATATAATAATAGGTCTGTTAGTCTCCTTTGTGCCAATTGGCTTAAACACAGAAAAGTGGAGTTTTAAATTGCTTCAACATACACTTAAGGTCAAGTGGAAGATTTTACACAGAAAATAGTAAGGTCATTTAATGTTTTATGCTTATTATTTATGCATGTAAAATCTTTGGAATGTTTGTGAAAAAGTAAAAAGTACAGAAAATCATTTCAGCAGAAGTAATATAGTAATCTGCATATAGTTCTGACTTGATGCAGTTGGTAACATTTTTAAAATTGTTTCTGTTTCAGGATTGTAGAACTGAAGGAAATGGTGTCTGATGTCAATCTCAGTTTTAATAAACTCTCCTTTATATCCGTGGAGTTATGTATGCTTCAAAAATTGACTTTTTTAGATCTAAGGTATTTATTGATACTCTTTGCTTGATTTAGAAAAAGATATAATTTTTCTTTGATGTTTGCTTTATTAGCCCTTTAAGTCATATTACATAGGTAAATGTAGAACTTGTCTTTCATGTATTTATTTATTTATCTATCTATTTATTTATTTGGTTGGTTGGTCATGGGGCTTGAACTCGGCTTGGGCACTGACCCTGTGCTCTTCAGCTCAAGGTGAGCGCTCTACCACTTGAGCTACAGAGCCACTTCCAGTTTTCTAGTGGTTTATTGGATATAAGAGTCTCACGGACTTTCCTGCCTGGGCTGGCTTTGAACCGGGATCCTTAGATCTCAGCCTCCTGAGTAGCTAGGATTACAGGCGTGAGCCACTGGTGCCAGGCTAAATTGTTGAGGGCTGACACAGCCCTCCCTAGTCGAGCAGCTTGCATGACTTCTCTTTAAGGAACCTACTTGGTTTAAAATACTACATTTAATACGCAAAGCCATAAAGTAAAAGAATAGTATGTCTGGCAAAAATAATAGAAACTATTTTGATCTATTCATAAATAATATGAGGTTTAGTTTATGTCCAATTTGGAGTGACAGTATCAGAAGTTTGACAGTTCTTTAAAGGGAAACAGAATTACATAGTAATTTATTTGCTCTGATATAATTTAAAATTTTCATTTTGTACTGGGGTGTGACCTTAGTGCCTCATACTCTCACATGGCTTTTTTGCTCAAGGCTGGTGCTCTACCACTTGAGTCATACTTGTTTCTCTGGCTTTTTGATGATTAATTATAGATAAGCATCTGATGGACTTTTTTAACCTGGTTTGGATTTGATTAGGATTCTCAGATCTCAGCCTCCAGAGTAGCTAGGGTTACAGGAGTGTCACTGGCACTTGGCTTGATTTAAAATTTTTATTTGTAAAAATATCTTTATTCCCTAGGTTACTCTCATACTTTTATATTGTTATTACAGGTGGTTTTAGTTTAAAGTTATGCTTCTTAGCTCTTTTTAGCTGGATATTTCATGGCATATACAGTCTGGCCCTTGACTGAACTATACACTAAACCTCTCATAAAAATGAAAGAGCATAGCTCTTCTTGCTATGCTAATTGTCCCTCTTCTATCTCTGTCTCTGTGTTTCTTTTTTATTATTATTATTGTGAAAAAGCCATACAGAAGGGTTACAATTACATGGGCAAGATAGTGAGTACATTTCTTTTTTTTTTTTTTTTTTTTTAATTTTATTTTATTTTATTTGAGAACATACTGTACAGAGGGGTTACAATTACATGGGCAGGATAATGCATACATTTCTTACCAAGCATTGCAGCCTCCTCCTTTGTTTACCCTTCACCTCCCTTCCCAGCCTCCCCCCTCCCCCCCACCCAATCATACCCCCCCCCCCCCCCCCCCACACACACACACCGACATTGTAAAGCTGGTTTTGACATGACATTTTGTACTTCTCATTGTTGCAACAGGTCCACCTGAATCCTTAAACGACTTGTTTGTCTCCATCTCCTCCACATGTTATACTGACATCAAATATAGTGAAAGCAGGGGTTACACTGTGGGGGAGGGACGTACAAAGCAACAAAGAAATAATCTTATAAATGCGTTAGAAACACATGCATGAAAGAAACAAAAACATTAAAATAAATATTTAAGGGTTCGTTTTCCTAACATCACATTATCTGACCTTTTCCGCTTGACTCATACCTATACTAGATATTGCAAATAAGGGAAACCATGGGACCTATGTTTCTTTGGGCCTGGCTTACTTCACTTAATATAATTTTTTCCAAGCCTTTCCATTTCCTAACAAACGGGGAAATGTCATTCTTTCTGATGGACGCATAGAATTCCATTGTGTATATATACCACATTTTCTTGATCCATTCATCTACTGAGGGGCATCTGGGTTGGTTCCATATCTTAGCTATGGTAAATAATGCTGCAATAAACATTGTTGTGCTGGTAGCTTTAGTGTGGTCTTTTTTGTAAACATTAGGGTAAATGCCCAAAAGTGGGATTGCTGGGTCATAGGGGAGTTCTATGTGAAGTCTTTTGAGGAACCTCCATACTGCTTTCCAAAGTGGTTGAACAAGTTTACATTCCCACCAACAATGAAGTAAGGTTCCTTTCTGTCCACATCCCCTCCAGCATCTGTTGTTGTTAGAGTTCTTGATTTTTGCTGTTCTAACTGGAGTGAGGTGATATCTCAATGTTGTTTTGATTTGCATTTCTTTTATGGCTAGGGATGTTGAACATTTCTTCATGTGTCTATTGGCCATCCTTCTTTCTTCTTCAGAGAAGCTTCTCTTTAAGTCTTTCGCCCACTTATTTATTGGGCAGTTGTTTCTTTGAGGATTTGTTGTTGGGTGGTTTAATTTTTTGAGTTCCAAGTATATTTTAGATATGAGACCCTTGTCCGTTGTATGGCTAGTAAAGATCTTCTCCCAATCCGTGGGCTTTCTATTGATCTTGCTAGCTATGTCATTTGCCCTGCAGAAGCTCTGCAACTTTATTCAATCCCATTTGTCCAACCTTGCTTTGATTTGTAGTGTTTCCGGGTCTCTATTCAGAAAATTTCAGCCGGAGCCAAGGAGACCTAGGGTTTCTCCTATTCCATCCTGTAATGTTTTCAGAGTGTCTGCTTTGAGTTCAAGGTCTTTGATCCATTTGGAGTTGATTCTGGTGCAGGGTGATATATAAGGATCTAGCTTTAGTTTTCTACATGTAGTTAACCAATTTTGCCAGCACCATTTACTGAAGAGGCTGTCTTTCTTCCATTGTATTGTTTTAGCTCCCTTATCGAAGATTAGATGGCTATAGGTCTGTAGGTTCATTTCTGGGTTTTCAATTCTATTCCATTGGTCCTGAGGTCTGTTCTTATGCCAATACCAAGCTGTTTTGATTACTATGGCTTTATAGTAGAGTTTGAAATTTGGTATTGATATTCCTCCAGCAGTGTTCTTTCTGTTGAGGAGCGTTTTTGCTATTCGGGGTCTTTTATTGTTCCATATGAATTTTTGGATTGCCTCTTCTATTTCCTTGAAGAATGAGGGTGGAATTTTGATAGGTATTGCGTTGAATTTGTCGATAGCCTTGGGAAGTATTGCCATTTTCACGATGTTAATCTTTCCAATCCAGGAGCATGGGAGGTTTTGCCATTTTTTAAGTTCTGTGTTGATTTCCTTTTTCAAGATTTTAAAGTTTTCATCATAGAGGTCCTTCACTTCTTTAGTTAATTCCTAGGTATTTTATTTTTTGTGGGGCTATTACAAATGGAGTTGCTTTCCTAATTTCAGCCACACTTTTCTCATTGTTGGCATACAGAAAAGCCATTGATTTTTGGGGGTTAATTTTATAACCTGCTACTTTGCCAAAGTTTTGAATCAGCTTGAGTAATTTGGGAGTGGAGTCTATGGATTCTTTAAATACAAGATCATGTCATCTGCAAAGAGGGAGAGTTTTATTTCTTCTTTCCCTATTTGGATCCCCTTTATGTCTGCATCTTGTCTTATTGCTGTAGCTAGGCATTCTAATACTAGATTGAAGAGAAGTGGAGAGAGTGGGCATCCTTGTCTTGTTCCTGAGTTAAGAGGAAATGGCTTTAGTTTTTCACCATTGAGTATAATGCTGGCTGTAGGTTTGTCATATACAGCTTTTATTGTATTGAGGAATGTTCCATGGATTCCTAATTTTTCCAAAACCTTCATCATAAAGGGGTGTTGGATCTTGTCGAATGCTTTTTCTGCGTCTATTGAGATAACCATGTGGTTCTTATTCTTGCTCCTGTTGATGTGATGAATAATATTAATTGATTTGTGTATATTGAACCAGCTTTGCATCCCTGAAATGAATCCTGTTTGATCGTGGTGTATGATTTTTTGGATGAATTGTTGAAGTCGATTGGCCAAAATTTTGTTGAGAAGTTTTGCATCAATGTTCATCAAAGAAATGGGTCTATAGTTCTCTTTCTTTGCTGAGTCCCTGCCTGGTTTTGGGATGAGGGTTATGATGGCTTCATAGAATGTGTTCGGTAGTGAGCTTTCTCTTTCAATTTCATTGAAGAGTTGGAGGAGAATTGGTGTGAACTCTGCTTTGAAGGCCTTGTAAAATTCCGCTGTAAAACCATCTGGTCCTGGACTTTTCTTAGCTGGGAGGTCTCTTATTGCTGTTTCTATTTCAATGCTTGATATGGGCCTGTTAAGATAGTTTAACTCATCTTGGTTTAGTTTTGGCATGTCAATATTTGCTAGGAAGAGGTCCATTTCTGTCAAGTTGTCAAACTTATTAGCATAAAGTTTTGAGAAGTATTCCCTTATACTGTTCTGAATCTTGGTTGTTTCCATGGTGATGTTTCCATTCTCATCTCTGAGTTTATTAATTTGGGTGTGTTCTCTTCTTTTTCTGATAAGATTTGCTAAGGGTCTGTCAATTTTGTTAAGTTTTTCGAAGAACCAACTCTTTGTTTTGTTGATTCTTTCTATAGTTTTTTTGGATTCTAATTCATTTGATTCTGATTTAATTTTGATTATTTCTTTCCGTCTACTGGATTGGGGTTTATCTTGCTGCTCTTTTTCAAGGAGATTTAGATGTATCATTAAATTGTTAGTTTCAGATCTCTCCAATTTGTTGATGTAGGAGCTCAGAGCTATAAACTTGCCTCTGAGTACTGCCTTTGCTGTGTCCCAGAGGAGCTGGTAATTTGTGTGTTCATTTTTGTTGAATAGCATGAACATTTGAATTTCCTTTCTAATCTCTTCTATGACCCACTCATGATTCAGCAGTGTGTTGTTCAACGTGAGTACATTTCTTATCAAGCATTGTTGCCTCCTCCTTTGTTTCCCCATACCATCCCTTCCTCTCTGTGTTTCTTATTCTCCTGTTTTTGAGGCAGGATCTCACGTATCCCAAACTAGTCTTGAGTGCAATATGTAGTGCAGGGAGTGGTGGGATGTAAGGCTTCCCATTGTTGCTAGGATGACAGGCCTTTGCTACTGCATCCCGCTTTCCTTTTTGGAGACGGAGGTTTTTGGACCTTTGCTAGCTTGGATCAGGGGTCTTTCTAATTTTAGACTTCCTCATAGCTGAGAATGAGTGTTACACTGTGCCTATCTGTGATTGAGAATGGATCTTTGACCTTTTCTGCTCAGCTGGCCTTGAGCTTGGATTCTTCCAGTCTCAGCCTTCCAAATAGCTAGGGTTGCAGTCATGAGCCAGTGGGGCCCTGCTTCTCATAAGTATTTTCTGTTGATAGTAGCTATAATGCTACTAGACACTTTCTGCCTTGCTGTTAACTTTCATTATAACATTGCTCCCAGATTGTTCCAACAGTAAATATAATTCTGTTTATTGTCGTGTAGTGAGATATAAATAAGCAAGCATTGTATAAATTGAAATTCTAAACTTAGATAGAAGTAGACCAATTGAATAGATGTTTCTCTTTTATTTCACTTTTCACTTTTTCTTATTTTCTAAATATTCCTGGAGTTGAAAAATTTGCATTTATTTATTTAATTTGTCTGTTGTGGGGCTTGAACTCTGGCCCTGGGTGCTGTCCCTCAGCTCTTCAGCCCAAGGCAAGCACTCTACCTCTTGAGCCACAGTGCCACTTCCGAAATTTTTGTCTTTATATAAGATATGTATTATCATTAAGAATATTTATTTCAGGTGGTATACCATTGTGATCCAAATCCTATATAGTGTGATTGCTGAATTCATTATGAAGGAGATAAAGAATTAATTTACAGTATCTACCTCATTATATTTATTATGAAAGAGTTGACTGCATATTGGCACACTAAATATTTTGAGCCACTGACTGATTCAGAATACTCAGAACTTAGCCTTAATGAGATGAGATTAAGAACTGACATTAAGAACTTAAATGAATGTTTTTTTTTTCCCCTAAAAAAAGTTGATGATTTATAAATTAAACTTAATGAAAGTTTTAAACTTTGTAACTCCTCTGTTTTAATTTGCCATTAGGAACAATATTTTAAATTTTTTGCCTGAAGAAATGGAATCACTGACAAGATTACAAACAATCAATCTGTCCTTTAATAGGTAAGAGATATTAAGGTAATTCTAGAAGTCATTCTGTAGAAAAATGTAGATCTTTCTAACTAGAGAAAACAACTAGAAAAAGCCCAATAAAAATGCCCATTTTTATTTTAGTAGTCATATTTTTTTTTCATTTATAAAAATGCCCATTTTTATTTTAGTAGTCATATTTTATTTTCATTTATCCAATATTATTTTCATTCATTCAATATACTTGAAAGTGATATAGCTTGCTTAGAATTTTCAGTTGATATATAGCAGATTTTTATTCTCTTTTACCATTTTGAGAAATCTAAATTTTAGATTTATCTAGACAAATAGATTTATTTAGACAAATATTCAAATAAATGATTTTAATTGCTTAAATAGAATCACAACACATAAGAAAAGAAATATTCTGAGATTATCTGAAGGTAGAGAAGGTAATTTTGAAACTGAGGCAATAGACATTGCCAGGCATACAGGAAAAGGAACTACCAGTTACAACGAATAGCATGTGCTGTAGTACAAATAAGTTATAACTTGGTAGCTAGTTATTGCTGGTGCTGAACTATGCACTTGGATATATCATCTCATTCTTATAAAAATCTTGTATGGTAAGTTCTATTATGTCTAGTTAAAAATTGAAGATTTAAATAACTTAAGCATACTTAAATAATAAATCATAGAGCTAGTATTTGAATCTAGGTAGTTTGAATCCAGTTGAGCTCTTAGTCATTGTTTTATAGTTTTTTATGATGAAAATTGATGCTAGTAGCAATTTTTAAAATACGAATGGCAAGCTTATATATAAATAATGCAGTGTTGTTAAAATGTATACTTCTCATTTTGATATTTGTTCTGTTGGCTTCAGTATTTGTGTTCTCTTACACAAATAGTTTATAGCCATATTGCTGCTTTAAGCATACTTCTCAGGTGTCTCTTAATTTTTACTTGTAAATTGAGCTATCATTTCTCTATTGAATTGTCTATTGAACTATCTGTTGCATTATAAGTAACATATTTGGGGAAGTAGTACAAACTAGCCCAAAGTTCTGTGTTAAAAATTGAGCTTCATCTTTTGTAATTATTTTGTTCATGGTTGGGGGCTGGTAAAGAAAAGAGAGGCTTTTTTGGAGTAACTTGGGCCATCTGTATCACTGGTTATCCGTTCTCAAGTAACACTGGAACTTCAGAGTTGTCTTGAGCTTCCCTTTCACTGTTGCCGCTTGCTTTCTTCTTTTTTTGTGATGGTGCTGAGACTTGAACTCAGGTCTGGTCACTGTCCATTAGTATTTTCACTAAAGGTTGCCACTCTACCACTTCAGCTAAAGCTCCACATCTGGCTTTTTGGTAACTAGAGATATTAGCCTCATGGCTTTGAACCAGCCTTCTGAGTAGCTAGGATTACGGTGTGAACCACTGGCATCCAGCCAATGTACTTTTTAACAGCAAGGGAAGGGAAGTATGGAGAAATGAAAAGATCACATCTATGAAATTCTCTCCATCAGCCTATTCTTGTTTTTTCTAGCCTAGGTTACAATTTAACTTACACTGTAGCAACCAGATTGTACACCATGGGACCCTCTGTGATTTGGGGTTAATTTAGTATTGCTGAGAGCCCCCCCCCCCACTCTTCTGTCTTTTGCTTTGGAGAGCAAGAATCTTTGCTTGGTGTCATCTTTGGAAAAACACTAAGGATCATTCATTTTGGGATGAACTTTGTATATTTAAAAAGTATCACAAATTGTACTTTATGTATACATAGTGGTTTATAATAAATGAATTAGGAAAGAATGCCTGCATGAGACCTCCGAATTTCTTTATGTCTGAATGTTTTACTGAATATGAATACTAAAACAACAAAGAATTTATTCCAAATGTTGGATTTTTGATTTATCATTGGTAGTAACTTATAAGTTTGTCCACTTAGCATGTATTGCAAGGTTTCTAAAATTAATATATTTTCTTATCTTCTAGGAAATTTGAATGTAAGACTTAATTCCTAAAGAAAACATTATTTCATGACATAATTCATAATCTTTTTAAGGAATGATTTTAACTTCTAGTTCCAGTATATTTAGGTGTTCTGTTCATATATTAATAGGTTCAAAACGTTCCCTGAAGTTCTGTATCGTATCCCCACACTAGAAACTGTTCTGATTAGTAACAATCAGGTTGGATCTCTAGACCCTGGGAAAATGAAGATGATGGAAAATTTGATCACATTGGACCTTCAAAATAATGACCTCTTACAAATTCCACCAGAGCTTGGAAATTGCGTGAATCTAAGGTAACTACACCATTCTTCTGAATTTGTTGATTTTTAAACTACTAAATAATAGTTAAAAAAACTCAGAAACCCAATTCTGTTTTTCAAATTTGATCAAATATTTTAAACTTTATTTATAGAGTATATGCATATAGTATACATATGTAGTAAACATGTATAAATATATGGACTATATTAGTAGTACTTTTTATATGCTTATAATGCAAGCTCTACATAAAAATGTCAGGAAAATATGAACCCTTTAGCATTGCATATAGGACATTATTATTATTGTTATCATCATCATGATCATCATTATTTTTTCTGGTACTGAACTCAGTGCATGGGTAATGCTCAGTGCCTGAGCTTTTTGTTCTTATTTTAAAATCTTTAATATAATTTTAAAATTGTTATTATAAAGGTGATATACAAAGATGTTACAGTTATGTAAGTCGGGTAAAGAGTACATATCTTTTTGGACATTGTCACTCTTTCTCAATCTGTTTTATTTACTAGCTATTTTTTTCTTAGCTTTCATTAGTTAATATGGGGTTTCAATGTTATATTTCCAAACGTTTACAATATTTTTAATTAGTCTCAATTCTTCTATTATTCTCTCTTCCTTCTTCACATAACTACTTCAACAGGTGTCATTGTACTATTTACATAGTCACTATCTATTTTGTCTGAATTCAAACTTTTTTCATCTACCCACCTAATAACAGTCTGTTTCTCTTTCCCTGTCCCTCAGCCATTGATCAAAAGCTTTTACTGGGGTTCCTTTATGTTTGTTAATTTACAATGTTAACAAAGTTATTTGCCCTACCTTTTCCCTTCTCCTTTCTCCTTTTTTTGTGCCATCCTTGCACAGGGACTATGCTTATGTTCTTTGTGTCATTCCAGTTTCAGTCTGTGTGCTGCTATAGAGAGGCTGTTTGTACTGTTTACAGTAGCTGTTCCCTCAGCCTTTAGACAGTTGTCATCAGTAATCATACTATCCCCTTTGAAGGTCTTTGCTGTTCTCCAGCAAAATTAATTCCTGTTCTGATGTATCATCATGCTCTTTTGGACTCAGTTTGTATCACTATTTTGCCATCTTTAAAAAAGATTTGTTCTAGTGCCTAAAACATAGTAAACACTCATTAAGTCCATTAGATATAAAGGGAATTGGGGATGTTACTAGAAAGCTAACTAGTTAAGCAGAACGTGCCAGAAATAACTTTACTATAACTATCTGAATATTAAGTTTTTGGCCAATTTTACTTTACTGGGTCAGTTCTGGTATCTGCTGTAAGTAAACTTAGTTGATTATTATTATTGGCTATAATCATGTTCTATAAAGTCTTTGTGAAGTGAACTGGAGAATATTGAATATTGCTTCTAAGTATTCTTTTTCTGTAAGAGTCTGATCCCAACATTTTTATCAGCCCATCAGTACATAACCTTGTTTTGTGTGTTTCTGTGTAGACACCTTCTAAATTTATTGTTGATTCATTAGCATTGAATTCATGGCCAAGAGCACTATAATTTAATCCTAAAATAAAATAATGTATGTATTTTCTTCATTATACTTTTTTTTTTTGGTCTGGCCGTGGGGCCTGAACTCCGGGCCTGGCGCTGTCCTTCTTCAGCTCAAGGCTAGCGCTCTACCACTTGAGCTACAGCGCCACTTCTGGCTTTTTTCTTTTTTATTATGTGGTGCTGAGGAATCGAACCCAGGGCCTCATGCATTCAAGGCAAGCGCTCTACCACTGAGCCACCTTCCCAGCCCCCATTATACACTTTTGTACCTGTGAAAATTGGAAGTACTTCCACACTATACTTTGGGGCTAATTAATTAGTTTATTTTTTAAATTTAAATTATCTTTTAAAAAATTAATTTACTTTATTGTTGTTATAAAGATGATATACAGAGGAATTACAATTACATGAGTCAGGTGATGAGTCCATTTCCTTTCATACAGTGTCTTCTGTTCCCTCACTCTCTCCCAGTCTCTCCCTCCTGTCTCTACCCACAAGTTGTATAGTTCACTTTCTTCTGTGTCCAGTGAGCTCCACTTCTGCAATTTTTTCACCCTTTTCCCCTTGAGCTCTGTACCCTTCTCCCAGCCTTCCTGAAGATATACACTTGAATACACCATACATAAAAAAGGAAGACAGAGTCATCTAAAAATATCTTTTAAAACATAGTCCTAATGGCCTAGGCTGGGTTGAAATTCAAGATTCTCCTGCCTTGGCCTCCCGAGTGCTAGGTTGTATGAATGCCTTTTCACACCTATTAGAGGACATTTTAAACAGTGAAATCATTAAGAAAAAGTATGGAATTTGAAAACTGTTGCACTTGATTGACCACAGGAAGGACACTTGTTTCCAATATAAGAGCTGAAACAGAAAGATAGAGCATTACTTTGTTTGACTTAAGCTAGGACATAGCCTTTTGAATGATTCATACTTTTCTATGCTCTGTGCATGCCTGTAAATGCCCTTGAAGTACCACATATACTGATTTTGGAGTTGCATACTTCAGTGAATATTCAAATTTGCAAATATGGAATCTGTGAATAATTAAGTTCAACTATAATTAACTTTTTCCCCAGGAGTTAAAAAACACTTAAAGGAATTATTGAAATAATTTATAAATATTGGCGATCTCGCTCTCTTTCTCCCTCTTCCCTACTCCCTGACCCTATTACCTTTCTTCCTCTCCTTGCCTTTCTTTGTGGTATTGAGGATTAAAACCATGCCTTCAGGTGTGCTAGGCAAGGGCTCTACTATTAAGCTGCATCTCCAATCCTTTTAAATTTTATTTTGTGATAAGGACTTGCTATACATCTCAGATTAACTTCAAATGCATTGCTTTTGTTTTAGCCTACTGAGTAGCTGGGGTTTAGGTGGTTGCCACCATGCCTGGCTAAAGATAAAATTTAGATCAACTATACAATATGGTGTATGGCTTCTGATTTTGTTTGCACATATATATATATATATATATATATATATATATATATATATATATATATATATATATATATATATTTTGTTGATCATGGGACTTGAACTCTGGGTCCGGGCACTGTCCCTCAGCTCTTCAGCTCAACGCTACCACTTGGGCCACAGCACAACTTTCAGTTTTCTGGTGGTTTATTGGAGATACGAGCCTCACAGACTTTCCTGCCTGGGCTGGCTTTGAACTGTGATCCTCAGATCTCAGTCTCTTGGGTAGCTAGGATTATAGGCCTGAGCCACCAGTATCCAGCTTTAAAACATTTTTAATTGAGGATATTTCATGAATTATATAAAGAAAACAAGTCTTTAAGTTTTAAAGGGCTTAGGAACTTTATTTCCAAACATGTTAATTGACATATGTGTGTGTGTAGTCAAGGATGGAAAGGACAGACATTTTAATGTTTTTCAGAAGTGGTGAACTGATACATTGATTATGATTCTTGGTGTGGATGGATGCTTGTCAGTTTGAATGTTTGTATAATCTAATCTGATCACTTATTATGTGGTCATATAAAACTGAGAAGAATCTAGAGTAAATGGTGATTCAAACCAAAGATTCAGCATTTAGGAACTATTTGATTTTAAGCAAGCCTATTTTCCCTAAATTTGTTTTTTCTCATCTGTAAAATAGGAATATTTATGGTACCTACATCATAGTTATTGAAAAATTGACCAATAAATAAGTTACTTATTTTAATTAGTTTCATGTAATAATTATTCAATTAATATTGTGTGTTGGTTCTTATAGCTATTATTCCAAGTATTTAAGTGCTCTGATTTGAAAATGGACCAATAGGAAAAAGTGCATGATTTATAAAATTATAAATAATAATTTATTTCCTTGAAAGAAACGTCCACAAATAGAAAATGTTTAAGTTCTCTGTTTCTTTCTTTTGTTTAGGACATTACTGCTAGATGGAAATCCATTCCGTGTTCCTCGAGCAGCCATATTAATGAAGGGAACAGCTGCTATCCTGGAGTATTTGAGAGACCGAATTCCTACAAATTAGTTGTTTCTTAATCCTTAGGATAGTAGAACATTTTGTTTTAGTACCATCCCAAAGGTAACAGCTAAAATTGATCCTACAGTTTCCCAGTAATTACCTAGACATTGGTATAGTTGAGCTGGCTATAATCATTGTCATTCAAAGTTCTTTTATTATTATTTCATTTTTCTGAAATGTCATGCACATTTAAATGATGTTAAATGCATATAGTCATGTAATTTCCTCCATACATGTTCTGAATATTTTACACAGAAGTTTTCCTACTCAAATTCATTTCCTTTTAACATTGTAAGTACTGTTTTCAAAAGTATAGTTTATTTGATGTGATTTAATATTTTTATAACAGCATTTTTGTAGATTTGGGTTTTTCCCCTTGTTTCTTTTTATATTCCATGTGCTGTGACTAGTTGACTTGAATATGAATATCCAATTTCTATCTTTTTAATAGAAATAAAATGATTTCCATTTAATATCATTCTTTGGCTTTAAAAACATGTAAAACTTTTCATACCCATGATAAGTCTTTTGTAATGTGATTAATCTCAGTTCAAGTTGTGTTTTTTTGTTGTTGTTTTTGGTAGTGGTGATTTTTTTTTTTTAATTGTTGTTTTTTTTTGTTAGATAGTAACTATGTGGCCCAGGGAGACCTCTAATGAGTAATCTTCCTGCCTTAGCCTCCTAAGTTTTGAGATACAACTTTGTGCCCTGTTTTTAGTAAAAGCTTTGAATTAGCATTTATTATCTTGATTTTTTTTTTCTTACTCTAGTGAGTTTTTTGTTTGCTAGCAATTTAGTGTTTTCCTTCTGTTTTATGAAATTATTTCATCAGGGGGGCTTACTTTATAGAAATGCTACTCAAGTTTTAGGTATTGGAGAAAGTAGTGTTATTGGAGAAAGTAGTGTTATTGTTGCTACTCTCACAATTTTGGCATTAAAACAATAATATTTTTAAGTGTTGGTGTTGTTTTCAAGATGATATTCTAGTACTTTTAATTCAGGAACTTCAATAAGATTGGATCTGCATAGTTCCTCTCAGTGAAAAGGGGTGTATTTAAGTACTTTTTGTCTCTTCCAAGAAAATAAAATTGAATTCCTTATCTTATTAATCCTACAGAAAACAGAGACCAATGAGTAGTCTATATTATATAGAAGTCTCAAAGAGTACTTTGCTTTAACACTTACAAAGCAGGTATATTTGTATACTTGCTTTTATAACATACCTCTGGGTAGGTTTTAATGAAGCTCTGTATAGATTTTTCTTTCTGGCACCTTAATTTTGAGATTTGCTTGCTGTTATCAAGACTGAACTTGCAGTTATAAAGTTATTTTGTAAAAGAAATTTTGTATAGATTGACTTAATAAAACTCAAATATAAACAATTTCGTTTATCCCAAATTACCAGAATTACCATATGATTCTATTAAGTAGCCAAGGGAGTAGCATGTATATCAGTAGATAGATAGATAGATCGATAGATAGATGCACAGATAGATAGATACAGAAAATTTTAGATTAAGGCATGCTTATATTATGAAAAATCATTGTTAATAAAGATACTACATGTTCATAATAAAAATTACATTTTTCAAATATCAATTACAATGTTTTTGTTTGTAAAGAAACATGTCTTTATGTCTCAACTTTAAGAAGTCTGCTTGAATAGTAAATCAAAGACACTTTACAATAAGGTGACATTTTATTATTTATACAATAAGGAGACTTTTATGTTATTCAAAACACTTTTTTAAATACTGAAAAAGTTGAGTACATCAAAGCCGAAAAATGGCTCTGCTATACACTGCACAGCTTTATTTTAGTCCCTGTATTTTGTGTCTGTACAGAAAGCATCTTCAAAATGCATCCTAATCACATTGTACACCTTTACCCAGTAGTATCAATACATAAAATAAAACTGGAGAATATTCTTGCATTTGCAAATTAATTAATTTCACTGATTCAGTAAATTTAAAATATAGATTCATAGGACTTCTTTGCACATAAATGAAGCAGCTTTCAAGGTTGTTATGGTCTCATACTGCAGAAAAAAACCTATTAAGTACATTCACAATCTATGTTAATAAAGTAGTAAATATGTCTTCATTCAGTTGTATTTACATCAATATGTAGTTTAACTAAAAAGTACTGTTAAATCATGATATAGGAGTCTTTTAACACGTACAAAAATGACATTTTATATATAATTTGAAGCTCAAAATCACAATTATTTCAAAATATTAATTACAATACAGCCATTTCAGTTAAACATGTCATGATTTGATTTTTTTATAAAATGGTAAAACTTTTTTTTTTTTTTTTATTAAAGTAAGCATTTTGTTTTGAATTGGCTAGAGTACATCCAAGTAGAAAATCTTAACTGTTAAGAGGTGTTTCCTGCCCCCTCCCACCCGAATTTGTAGATAGCCACCTAGGCTAGCAAAGAGACAGAAAAGGCCCCAATTTATATAAAGATTAAGCCTCTTTTGCTATGCTGCTGTGGCCTGTTGGTATTTCCATAAAAGCTTTACAAGGGAAGCATCGATAAACTAGGTAGTGGAATGCATGCATTAATATACAATATGTCTATGTAAAAATGTCAGTGTTTACCAATGCACATTAAAATGTTCACAAAGACTGCAAAAGAAGTCATAAAGAAGCACTTTATCTACTGGTTGCATTTTGTAAACTTGAAAAACTACTTAGTAATGTAATGGAATTTCTTTGAAATCATATCCCAATTCAAGTTCTTTCTCTGACTGAAAGAGCTGTTGTTTACTTGGCCTTAAGATGTCACTGTTGTGCTGCACATATGGTAGTGAAGTTCTATGTCACAAAATAGAAGTCTAGAGACTGTAATAATTTTACTAAAATAGTGATTCAAAGTAGTATCACTACTTAGGAATTTTTTTTAAACTTACAGGAGAGTGAAATATTTCACTGCCTTATATGACCTCAAAATGGAAAACCTTTGTGTGTGTTTTGCATGCAAGAAAATTAGAACTGTGTAGGATAATAAATGCAATTCCTCACAAATTAATGAGGGAAAAATAATTATCAGTAGTCTAGAAAAATGGAAAGATAATATTTATGAACGTTACCTTAAAATAACCTAAAACATAGTATGCAGTACTTTAAAAAATAATTCTTAACAACCAAGTTGAAAACCTGTCAGTCTTTAGAATCACTTATGTTAGTTTAATATTTCTTCTCTGAATAGAATGAGGGCAAAGTTCATATTGTGGTTCTTATACACAGCTGGGTGGATGGTGTTTTGGGGGAGTCATAAAATGGAAAAAAAATAAATCTGTAGTCCTTGCAGTAACTTATAGTTATCTCCAATAACCTTACTTTTACAAGGTCATTTGTGATGGTCTTTTGAAGTTTACAATTTAGATTTGCTTCTGATTTTCCAGCTTGGGAAAATATACCTACTCTATATTAAACAAGGTTATTATCTTTGTGTTTCTTTTGGTCTCTTCAATGCCCTGATTATAAAGAGAACTTATTTATTCCAAACAAAATACTAACTCTTGCGTTTTCAGAGGGGATATATGTATTGCACTCTGTCGACGCTAGGTGTCACCAAAGCTAAAATGTAATTTCCTAAGGTAAAGCTTAGCATGCAGTCTTGATCTGAACCAGGTGCCTTTCCCATGTTCAAGACCACCAAGAGTCCTCTGAATGGAAAGACTATAAGTACTGAAAAGAGAATTTATCTTCACATTACATTCTGAATATAAATTACCTTTTTTAGCCAATATTGGAACTACTTTATATTCTCTAGTCTGCCTGAGAGGTTCATCTTGTTTTTTCCTATAGACTTTCCAAACAGTCACCTAAGAGTTCCTGACTAAATAAGCAATATTCTTTCATAGAAGGCTGGGAAGGTGTAAGAGGGATGGAGAGATACAGAGAAACACAATGTGATTCTTTTGTCCATTTGTCAAATGCTTTCCTTAGTCTTAACTACTGTAAAGGTCAGTGGACCAACATACCTGGGCATTATTTAAATTTACCACTTCAGCTGTGCAAAACAAATAAGCAAAGGAAAAAACCCTCCTATGTATGTGCGTCTGTATACAGACACAAAACCTGAGTCACGAAAGGTTTTTAATATAAGAAAACTTCTTTGAATGTAGGAAAATAACCTTTAAAGAGCCAAAATATACCTTTGTACAATATATGCAGCTAACTTTAAAACATCAATGTGCTTAAGTATGACATTTTTAAGACTCAGCAAAAAATGGGTCATTTACACTAATTTTCTTAACTATAGCAGAGATGTCTGTATTTTTATTTCTTAACATCTATTTTCATTCCCCTGAATGCATCAACTTTCCCTTAAAAAAATCTACATACATACATTCAAGTAAATCCTGTTTAATTTCTGAACAACAATTCCTGCTTTTTTCCTGAATATTGAGGACATAGGAGATTTGGAGTTGCTAGTGCCAAGCTACAATGGAACTTAAAATTCAAAGTAAAAGATACTTTATGAATAATATTTATTGACAAAATCTTCATAAAGTGGATCGCATTTGTTCTATATAGACTGTTAAAGCCCGAAGACACCCTTTTCTCCAGATCTTCAGCTTTTCCTAGTCCTTTTCTTTTTTCCCTTTTCCTTCACTTTTTTCCCCTTCTTTCTCTCCCCTTCTTTCTCTTTGTTTCTCCTTCCGCTTTTCTTTCTTTGCAGTACTAGGAATCGAATCCAGGCTTTGCACAGACTTCTTATCACTGAGCTACTCCCCCAGATTCTTGGGGGCAGGATCTCACTATATAGCCAGGCTGCTTTTGAACTTACGATCCTCCTGCTCCCACTTTCTGAGTGTTGGAATTACAGGTTTGTGCTACCATGCTGAATGCAATTTCTTTCCTTTTTCATACTTGACATACTTGAAACTGAATTGTCCCACCTGAAACACCCAGGTTCAATGCATTGCCAGTTACAATGTCCTCTGTCCCTACCTACATCTTTGTTGTTTTTATAACTTTCTTGTTAGACACTGGATTAAGGCTCAATTCAGGACATAATTATATCCTGGGCTACATTTCATGGGAACATTGAGGATATTTCATAGAAACATGAGTGAAAGTGGCTTTTCCATGCTGTCCCTGGTTGTTTAAAATTGATTATGCATTTCTGTCAGTTAAGTAAGTCTCTTGACAGTTTGAGAGAAGGGAAGCCATCTGAACCAATCCGTGTATCCGTGGTTGAATAGTAGGGCCTTTGGATACTTTTATCAGTATAGGCAATGTCCTTCCATGCTGATTTTCTCCTGCCTTAGTGAGTCTGGTTTGGGACAGGATGGCCAACTATTTCAGGATAGTACAGGATTTTTGGCATTAGCCAGGGAACTGTAGTCTCTTCCTGCCATTTTATATAACACTTGCCTGAGAAAGATTTTTGCGTTGTGCAGAAGGCTAAAAGCAGAGTCACACTTTCTCTGCCAACAGACTTGTTGCCATAGGAACCAGTGCGGAAAAATAAAAATATGACAAGAAGCAAAAGATTAAATGTGGAAAAAAATTGATAGGGAGGTGGTTTCTACATGCCAATTTGAGCATTTGGGGTTTAAAGAAACAGAATGTTCTTCATTTGGCCAGATCCCTGAAAATAGAGAAAATGACTTGCCAGTAGCTGGTCCCAGGAGGCTAGATGTAGGGAATGCAAGGAGATAGTAGAAAGTAGTATCACTTGTTCTGAATAAGACCTCTAAAATCCAGTTCCCATCCCTGATAAATGTTAACTCTACATTCAAATAGGTCCTTTGGAAAGGCATGGCTAGGTTTAGTTTTCTAAAAGCAACCTGCTGAAAACATTTTCTAACCTGTGCAAAGGTAGGACATGCTACCTGGAGAATTATTGCACACCTAGTACATTATTGCTTGGAGCATCTTCCCAAATAGGCAAAACCAAAACCAACAACAAAAAACAGATTCTTCAGATATCCAATGTTCCTTCCCCAACAAGGAATCTATTGTAAATAACCCAGAACTTAGTGTCTCAAAGGAATAAGTATTTTACTTCACTTGATACAAACTTGCATCTTATACTTACAAAAAATCCTGGGAGACTATCCCTGTGTCTTCTCTCCCAAGCTTTCCACAAGGCTATTTCCTGAAATCCTACAATTAATATGTCATTCCTATGGCTTCTGCTGTGGCAGGTATGGAATGCAATTACCCTGAGGACATGGGGAACTGACCCACTGTAGATGATTTGATTTGATTTGACTAATAGTGACACCCTTCACCTATTGTTTCCCTCTTTTCTCAAATATCAAAACAAAACAAACAAAAATTACATCCACCTGGGTAATAGGGAGGCATGGAAGCTAGGAAGTAGGAGATAAGCCATTATTGGGTAATTATCTTTAGGATACATCTAAGGACAAGGAGTCTGAATAAAATGCTGTGTTGTGTAGTAAGTACACTCTAATGATTTTCTGATCTCTTTAAGAGTTCCTTAGTGGAACTCCAGTGGCATAATCAGCGTGTGGTATTTATAAGGGTTCCTTAGTGAAGCCTTAAACAATCTCTACAGTGAGTTTTTGAAATAGCAAAAGCCCATTAGTTTCTCTTCTTCAAGAGTACGG